TTTACACTGAATACGACGCAGGCGAGGTGTCGGAGGTGCACGCGAATTGATTTACTTACACGGCGCGGCGCGGTGCGTGGTGACACACGGGGATCTGTGTTTGTGTTTGTGTTTGTTCGACGGTGTGGAGGTTGAAACGTGGCATTGGTTTTTATCACCATGGCGACAGTGGCATCGGCTGTTGCTGGACAGGCTGCGGAGAATCAGCAACAACTGAATCTGAGAAGAGGACGCCTCGACAAGTGTCTGGTACCGATTGGTGTGTGAGTGGCATGTCAAGTCAAGTCAATGTGAGAGAGAGAGTTCCTTAACGGGTTCAGGTTTCTGGATAAGAGACTGGAAACGTTGACGGACTTCAATAATATAATAATAAGAAGAAAAACATCAATCAGATTAAAGAAGTTGCCAAGGAAACAAGAAGAAAAATATTTTGGGTTTTTGTTTTTTCTTTCAGTTTCAACAGTTTTCAATCCTCCTTATATTCCAGTCTTTCTGACTAATCCTCACTCAGAGGTGGGAGCAGCCTCAGACCTGCTGCTATTGTCCGCATCCATCACATGACCCCCCGAGGGGAGCGGGGGGGCAGAGACATGCTGGGTCTGCAGGAGTAACGTGGAGCTGCGGGGGATGGGGGATGGAAAGGGGTGAGGGGTGAGGTGGGGTGCTAATCTCATTAGCTTCAGTCATCAGTGCTGTGGTGAGAACATGTGCTAATTGGTCCTTAAACACAAACCCACTGTGTGGTCGGACTGACTCCTCCGTCCAACAGGTGGAGGAGACACAAGTCAGATGGAGGTAAAGTGGAACTGGAACTGTTTCTGGGGTTCTAAGCGCAGACAATGCTGTGGTTTCCACAGGAGGTAACAGTTCCAGGGAGCGGGGACTGTTCCTCGAACTACGTGATCACCGGCTCCAGAAACAGAAACTACAAAAACAAACACATGATTTCCGGGCCTTGAACTAGAGCTGGAACAATTCCCAATTTCTCAAGAAACCACTCGGTTCCCAGAACTACGTGATTTTCATTACAGGTACTACAATACCAGAGACAGTACTAGCTGCTACTGTTGATAGTACCAGAGGCTAGGTACTGAACTCTATACAGTATATATATATTATATAAGACAGATTTAAGAGTTGGGAAAATAATTTAATTTCAAGGAGATGAGGGGAAATAAGAAACAAACCAACGACAAAAACCATGACAAAAGAGAACGAGAAAACGAACCAGTAGAAAAAGAATAAGAGAGCAGTAAAATACTGAATATTACACAGAGTCACTGCAGTAAAACTGACTCCAGTCAAAAGTCAATGGAACTCCGATCACAGGCTTCGTCCGATTTAATCGGATTTGAAACCACAAGGTCTTCCCTCGTCTTTGTTTCCTCCCCGGAGAGAAACTCAACATCTGAACCACATCCACTACAACCAGATCCATGAAGGGAAAAACGACCAATCAAATGTCAAGGATTTTAATGGCTAAAAAACACCAGAAACACAGAGACCATTCATACTATTCACACTCACATTCACACCAATAGTCAATTTAGAGTGAATAGTAATGGACGGACGGTGGGACTGGAGTTTCTCATTATTTCTCACCATCAGATAAAGAACTTTGTGAAGTAGAGATTCAAATGTTAAAACAAAAATTTCCATTTTCTTCTCTCATTCTGATCTACACAGAGGATGAAACCCGACACGTGATTGGCTGAACCAGAGGCCGAGCTCAGGCATCACCTTACGTAACCACAGGGTTTCTGGCACAAAGGAACTTTATCGGTTCCTCTTTCTGGACCCTCGGGTCCTTCGTGGCACACGGTGGGTGGAGATGCAGATTGGAGTGGCATGGCTGCCTGTGAGGAATGTGAGGAATCCCTCCCCCCTGCTCACCCTCACCCGCCTCACGCTCGGACGGCCACCACACTCTTATCTGACTCCTGAGTCCGTTTAATCATCATAATGGTCGGTTATTCATTAGCACACGTCGCCCTGTTTCTCCTCTGTGAACCTCTGCTGTTAGCTACAGCGGGTGAGTCCCCCCTCGGCCGCCGCAGACTCTACCTTTGATACTGAACAAAGGGTTTCAAATGACGACACCTTCAAAGCAGGATCAGATGTTAGCAACACTTTCTAGAGAAATTCTTGGAACTTCTCGTGTTTGAGGTCATTTTTTTTCCCCATGTAAAATATAAAGCTAACTTTTAGGACAAGCTACATGCAAAATGCTAAGCTATGTGTTCCTAGCATCTGTATCTGTGTATGTAATGTGTTGTTAGAAGTGTTAGCCTTAGAGATTAGCTTAGTGGTATCTCAAGCGAACATAAGAGCTAGTTTAAAACGCAAAAGGTTAGCGAGAAAAAAGAAAAAAAAAACTCTTTGAATTTTTTCTACTAATTCTTGTGTTAAATTAAACCGTACTTTAAGGCAACCCTAAAAAATGCTAGTCTATGTTAGCCCAAAATGAGCAAAAAACAAAGTCAAACAAAGCTAAAACTAACAACAACAACCTAAAAGCATCTAAAGGTTAGCAGAAACACACAGAAACTCAACATTTCCCCTGAAACTTTCCCATCAGCTCCGTCACAGTTTCTGTTCGGAGCGACCGAAACCAGGTTTTTCCCTCTTCCTGAAACATCCCTGATAAGTTTGTTTAAGGGAGGTTTGGGAACGCTGATATGTTCCCAGTGTTTTGTCATTGTTCAAACTCCTGGTGATAAAGAAGCAGCTGCACCGATGGACCGATGGTGTCCTGCGAAAGAAAAAGACGTCGACTCTGGATGTGGCACCAAATCCACTGGTCGGACAGTGTCTCAAGGATGAACTGTGGTCATCAAAGTGCAGCGACCTTCAGGTTGACCTCTGACAGCTCATTGTGTATTTTCTTTGCTAACATTTAGCTACATCTGGGCTGATGTCAGCTGTCTGCGCTAAGCATTTCTGTGAGCTAGGAGAGACTGTGGCTACACTCCAGATGTAATTGCTTTACTAAGGGTAATAGCAGCACCCATTCCAGCAGATGGTGCCTTGGGCGTCATTTTAGGAGATTGTTTGCCATGACGTTAACAACCTGGTACTTACAAAAACTAACCTAAACAAACAAATTCAGTCCAGGTAAATTATGCCGAACAACACAAGGACTTGAACTTGAACGGTCCGGATCATAAACAGCTGATCCCTAAAGGGGGCGTCCATGTGGTCATTAGCGTAAGGAGCTAACACCTATTCATGGACTCCTCACTGTCAGCTACATATGCCAGTACCCCCGCTGACCCCACTCACCTCCCCCCACCACTGCACACACAGCACTGGAGGATCACCCCCCCCCCCCAGAACAAAGAAGCTGTGGGGTTGGGGGGGGGGTTTCTGTGGAGAACCTGCAGCCAAACATTCCTGACACAATGCAGAGAGTGGTCTGCAGGTTGAACTGGGACTCACTTTAAAGAGGTCTATATACCAGGCCTGTGTTCCTGCCAACAAAGCTGAAGTACCCTCTTTACACAGAGGTACTGGGTGACGTCGGCCTGTCCATGGTGGTCTCACATCGTCTCTTCTTAGGAATGAAGCACTTGAAGACCCCTCAGGAGAAAGACATGGACCTGAACCATGAATTTGTCTCTGGCTGTTGCTGAGATTTTATTCTCTTATCCAAGAAGTTTTTGTACGTTCTAGAGGAACTTGCTTAACGACACTTTTGGAAATTATGTCTAAAAAAAAAAAATAAAAAAAAAATCGAGCAACGTCTGAAAGATGTAAAGCAGATTCTTACGTCAAACAAAAAAAAATCGAGCAACGTCTGAAAGACGTGAAGCAGATTCTAACGTCTAGCATGTACCAAAAGCTTCAGCGAGGTTTGGAAGAACTGAAGATGTCACTTCAGAACAGTCTCCAGGAAACTCAAGCTGAAGAACGGAGAAAGCAGATCCGAGATCAAACATCTTGAAGAAACTCAAGCCCATTTAGGTGGAAAGAGCTGAAGGACATCAGATATGGAAGTGAGAGAAGTCCAGTTTTCTTTCTTCTAAACTTCTCAAAATGAAACGTCTTCAATGACAAGAAGAATGACAAGAACTGAAATCCAGTTCCTTCCAAATGTTCTTCCAGATCGGTGCTTCTCAAACTTCATACACCTCTAAAAAAAGATCAGCATCAAATACCTCCAGTCCAACCATCATTAAAAACACAGCAGATCACGGTGACATTCTTGTAGTACTACGACTGATACTTCAATTACACTACGAAATCACACACACACACACACACACACACTGAGAGCAAGCAAGAATATACAATAGTTATTTTGAACCACTGATGGTCGAACCAAATTCTAGTGTGAATCAGATTCTTCCGGATACCACTAGAGGGAGGCCAGGTACCACCAACGATACACGTTCCACACTTTGAACCACCTCCAAGCTAAATGATAGCTGTGACAGAGTCTGGCTGGAATGTGATGTTTGTTCTATGGTGAGACAGGTGTCAAAGCTGTGAGGACGAGAGGGGGGACAGAGAGAGAGAGACCCTGTCTCTACAAGATCGTGAGGACGAGGGAGAGAGGGGGGAAGGTGGGGGGAGAGAGAGACCCTGTCTCTACAAGATGTTAACACGTCTTAGAACTTATTGACTCAAATAACTTGATCATAAATTGAACAGGAAAGTCAACAGTGTTTGACCAAACCCTCTGCTCAGGACTCCCGACTCTAAACCACGTCATTCCCAGTGAAAATTCCCATCTTTTCCCAACCTCCTAATAAAGACATCCCCGGGTCCTGACATCAGCATCTGTCTAATGAAATGCGTGAATGCAGCTGAGAGCTGACAGCAGCAGGATTTCCACACGTGAAGCGGCGAGAGTTACCGCAGCACAGACACGGGTCCGGATCAGGATCAGTACCTGGAACTCTGTCAGTCACCACCTCCAAAAACAGTTCCACCGACACCGACAGACAACGGAGGGCTCAGAGGGAGGAGGTGAAGCTGTCAAGTGTGTGTGTACTCACCTACTCCACAAGGTGCGTTGTAACGTCGGGTCCTCTGCGTGTCCGACAGGAACGGAACCTGAGATCGTCCGTCAGTCCTCACACCACCCGGACCCACATGTCGCCACTCCTCAAGGGGAAATGTGACCACTTCCAACCACGGTGCGAGATCCACTGAAGCCTCAGCAGGAGCAGGAGGAGCGGAGGAACCAGAAGGAGGAGGAGCAGGAGCAGAACAACCAGGAGGAGGAGGAGCAGTCGGTGAGTGTGGACCAACAGTGTGTCCAGGCTGGAGGAGAGATGCGCACGGGCGCCACCCTTTGCTGGACCTCCGGGACTCACCTCCCCCCCGATCCTTCTCTTGTAGCCCCCGGTGTGGTCAGTATCAGGAGGAGGAGGAGGAGGAGGAGCAGGTGTCTGTGAAGGAAACTCTGTGACGGAGCCTCGATCCGCGGCCACGCTGCTCGGTGAGCGCTCGTTAATGCCTGGTTAGCAATTAGGAAGCGCGCAGGACGCCCGTGGTGCCACCCACCAAAGGTTGAGTGGTGGTGGGTGAGGGAGGGAGGGAGGAGGGAGTGTACGGACAGAGAATTTTAATGAGGACTGCTGCAGACTTTCCTCCCTCTGCTCCTCACTCCTCCTCTCTCTGAGCGCCAGTCCTGAGAGGAGAACCCGAGTTAGAAGTGATGCGTCAGCAGACACCCCCAACCTGCAAGTCATGTAACACCCGCTGATGTGTCACCCCCCACCCCACAGGTGATCGGGGTATAATAAATTATACTTACCGCGTTTACAGTTTATATTAAAAAAATGTCATTTTTGTTCAATTTTGACTTCAAGAATACAGTTTCACATTGATTAAATTAAAAAAAATTATTCCAGGGGCGGCTCCAGCTGTTTTGGTTCCCCAGGTGAATTCATGGTTAGGTGCCCCAGACCCCCAGCATACTTAGACCACCCAAAAAATGAATGAAAAACATTTAAAAAAATCATTAACATGAGTAAAATCTTTAAAAAAGCAACACAAATAATAACAAATATTGGAAAAAGTGTATTATTATTATATAATATATATTTATTTTTATTCTGCAGTAGTGTTCCGTCCAGCAGGAGGCGCCCTGGTCCATATATCTAGCTCTTACCCTTCAGATTTGGAAATTCTAAGCACAAAACTGACCAATCGTGGCCCAGCTCTCCAGTTGAGCTGACTCTTCCTCTTCTTCACTGACTGATTCAGTGACCAGACTCCTCTGCCTCATGAATACCACTTCAGTCCTGGGTCTGTCGTCTGTTCCTTTTACTCCCAGGTTAAACCACTTATCTGTCCATATGGTGGGGATTCTAAACCCAACAGAACCTGGTGTTTGTAGAACACAAAGATGAAGGACGGTTGTACTCACTCGTGGGTGAAGCTGGTGTTTCTCTGAGACAAGTGTGGAATAATTCGATTGGTCCTTAATGTGACTTTTTGTCATTTAAAATGACCTGAAAAAAACCCAAAACTGATCATTTTTATCTTCGACTTAAAATTTCCAAATTTTAGACAACGTTAACAAAGCAATAAAAAAAACATTTTTCTTTTAAAATGTCCTCAATAAAAGCTGAAATGACTTATTTGTGTTAAGTCTCTAACGCAGGTCTTAATTCTACAGTGGTGCTGCACTGCCCTCTACAGGTAAAAGATACAGCTCAATTAAAACCGTGACTCAACACTTTTGTGCAGACCTTCAGATTGACTCATCCATCACCGCCACAGTCCCACAGTGAGGAGCAGCGGCTGCACTGCTGTCACAACCTGACAAAATAGAAGAAAAAAACAAAAACCACTACAGTACTATATTTATTTTATTTTAATTTAAAACATTTAAAAAATACCTTATTTTACAGGGAACTATGGTGATTTCATTTATTTTTTGTTAAGATTACCACTTCAGTTCAAACGACTCTTTTTCAGCCTGGAAGTGTCCTCTGCCGCTTTACGTTTACGTGACGGCGTGTCGGGGGTCTCCTCAGGAGGAGCCGAGGTCAGGAGGTAGAGGTCAAGGGGTGGAATCGGTTCCTGGAGGAGAGGAGACCATAAGAGAGCAGTGTTTGTGTAAAAACAATGTACTTTTAGTGATTTTTTTTTAGAAATCTTTCTGGAGCTGCGTTGACCTGCATGAGGTAGTCAGCGATGTACTCTGGCTTCAAACACGTGACTTCTTGGGAGGAGGCCTCAGACACGTTCACTCTGAAGTCTGTGGGTTTCAGTCGACTGAAGTCAGCGAACAGGTGAGTGGCTTCTCTGTACAGGGACGGAGAAGGACTGGGCAGAACCTGGAGAACCGGAGGGAAAGAAACGGCAGCAGACGTGAGCGAGAGAGTGAGGAGGAGGAGAGAAGTTTTGGAGTTGACGGGAAGTTTGCGTCAACACTTCAGAACCGACCTTAGCTCCTCCAGACTGCAGTAACCTCCTGAAGCCCGACTCTCTGCTGTGGTCGATGTTCAGCATCACCGTCCATCCACTGAAGGCACCCTGGAAAATACAGACAAGACAAATTAACAACATTGTTGGTTTGTTTAACAGAGACCACAGTTAGGCTAACAGCTCAAATGTTGCTAAAATACCAAGAAAATGTTAACAATTTGCCCTGGAAATAATTAAGTAAAACAAAATTAGAGACAAAAGCTTGAAGTTTGAAAAACAAAGGAGTAACACTGAAACACAGCTAAGTAGACATCTAAAAGTTAGCCCCAAAATTGCTAACAAGTAGCAGAGAAAATGACAACAATAGCTTTAAGATCAAGTCAAAAACTGGCCAGATGTGACCAGTAATTATAATAATAGTTATTAATAAATATTATGCAATACAATAATTATATAATATATAATTAATAATATATATATTATTATATAATAATAATTGAATTACTACAGTATCTTTAGGTTAGCCATGAAGACAGAATTCAGTAAAGGTGGTTGCTAAATGTTAGCTCAAAAATAGTTAATAAAAGTTCATGAAATTGCCCAAAAAATCCCCTCAAACATCAGTAGTATTATTATTCACACGGTACAAATGTGTGTGTATCGTATTTACTCCTTGTTTACTGCGTCCATGCAGAGCTTTCCTCCAGCGCATGGCGGCCAATGCTAATCTCCTCTGCTGGGAGTTAATGGAGGGGAGAGCGTCCAGGATGGAGCTGCTGCCCCACTCGTACTCGTCCTCCTGCAGCACAGACACAGTTTACAGTATAAATGTATGTCATCAGAACAGAGAGAGAGGACCAGAGGTCGGTGGAACTGTTCGACGGTTCTGACCTGGACAAAGTGACCGACTGATCGACACGCTTCCAGGTACGAACGGTGCAGGATCCATTTCCCGGCTGCCAGCGCTGCCAGGTACTTCTCATTGCGCAGGGGAGTCCCAACAATGATGTGGGAGCAGCTGGGGTCGAAGGACTGTTTGTCCAGAACAACGCCACCTAGTGTCAGATACAGGAAAGGAAAATCACCGTTTACAACCCTGTAATAAGTAAAAAAAAAAACAACCATAACAAATAGATGAACATCATAAATATGGAGATGTTCAATGATTTCAGTAATGATTTGTTTCCTGACTGATCATGCTCGCTCCTCAGGGATCAATTTCAGGTCTGAACTCTTTTTCTTTTGTCCAATGAAATGCAATTAGAGCTTTAATTAGTGGAGGGACTCACCCAGCTCCTCGATGAGGTGACTATAATCAATACGCTCCTGAGGGCTGAGGGAGGAGAGCTGGAATCTGGGCGGAGGCCTTTCTTCCGTTCTCTCCTCCTGGGAGGAAGTAAACAATTCTTTTTTAGCACCAGAGGCTCAACAGAAGAAAACAAACAAACACAGTTGTAATTTGTGTTTCCAAAAAAAAAAAAAAATCCAATTTACACCAAAATCCCTGCAGACAAACAACATCAGCGGCCGTGTTAATGGAAACATTAATGTTTACCTGTGGCTCTGGTGCTACGGCAGGATTAGCCAGAGGAAAAGCGATGCTGGGAGCTTTAGGAGTGAGGATGTTGTTCTCTGACTCGTCTGGTGGAGGCGACGTTTTCTGGCCCATATGTCGATCGATGACCGCACAGGCAGCTTGAATGAAAAGGTGAGGATGTGGATTTGATTTTGAGAGAATAAACCAAAAGCAGATTTCATTCTAGAACCGGTGCGACGTCTCACCCATCTCTGCCAGCTCAGAGTCAGTCATGGACTCCCCGTACCGAAGACTGTTTTCTGCGGACGGAGGAGGCGCTGCTGCCTGTGGCTCCGAGTTCTGGGATGGACTTCCAGGCCACTGCAGGTTATCGGCCAGCTTAGCTCTCTCCTTTCTGGCCGTGGGATCGTCCCAGACGATCTGCTCGCTTTGGGAGGGCTCAGTGTTTATGTCCATGGCTGCTTCTCTGTGAACCCTGGAGAAGAAGCCACAAAATTAAACTATCGACCCTCAAAAACATTTAACAGAAGAGAAAATAATATTTAATATATTTATTCCTCCATTCTTCATTAATAATTTAGTTTTCAAAAAAAGGAACATGCATCAGAAATGGCCAGAAATTTGACAGTGAAAAGATTTGAACTCCGTCTCCACGTTTTACCTCAGGGCTTCCAGAGTTCTCCTGTTCCCGCTGCGTCCAACTCTGCTTCCATCAGGTGTGTTTGGCCTTGAATCCACCCCTACCGATCCCATCTGGGCCAGTCTGACCGATGTACGCCTCCCTGTGGTCAACTTGGTGGCTGACATGATCTCCTGCAGCTGTCTCTGCAGGTTCTCCCTCATTTCCAGAGTCTCGGAGATGTCTGGAAAAAAAACAAAATCACGAGTTAATGAAGCAAATGTTTTCACGTTTCGGCAGAGGATTTAAAACTATTTACCCCAAATAAGATTATTATTACTACAACAGGTACTTCAATCCAAGTCTGAAACCACACACATATTTACATATTTAAGAAAAACATCAGATCACTCCACTGACCACTAGGGGGAGTACCACTAGTAGTTACATGTCCCGTAGGTTGGGAACCAAGGGGAAAAGAGAAAAAAAACAAAACAACGCACCGCTCCGTTCATGCGTGCTGTTCATCTCTTCTGGTTCCACACTTCCGTTACTGACACGGCGTGAGGTTGTAGCTTCGTCTGTGGTCTCCTGCTGTGTCTGAGGAGTGAAACAAAAATGAAAAAATATTTATAATAAAAAAATTCCAAAGCCTCAGAATCCCTCTCGACTTACAGCGTCATCAGCGGCCTCATTGTCCATGCTCCTGAGCTGCGTCCTGGTCAGCGGTGGAGACCTCTGCGTGTTGTTAGGAACTTGGCTGAGGTTCAGACTCATCTTGGGGTTGTAGCTGAACGGAAACAGAGACTCGGGGACACGTCTCTCCTCCTCTGCACACTGGTCAACGGCACACATGACAACGACCGTCAGAATATCACATTAATAATGCATGTGTTTTTATTTACAGTATATTTGAGTATATCAAACATACAGCTTGCAGCCAGTGCTGTGACACCACGTGCAGTCCTCTCTCCTTCACAGCTCTGTACTCTTTGCTGTTGTCGCCCACACGGCCCTGGTAGACGTAGTGGGTCACTGTGTCGTCACAGGCCCACCTAAATCAAAAACAAAAAACCAAGGTATAAATAACACAACTAAGGTTCAGCCTTAGAGAAGAAACAGCGCTGTTGAATAATCATTTTGTTATGCAGTTCATCATAAAAACTGTCAGTTAAACAACCTGAAGTCTGCTCCGAGGGAGGCGGCGACGGCGTTTAGTTCACTTTGCATTTTGCTCAGCTTCTTTCCCACGCAGATGACAACACCACTCAGTGGAGCCACCTGTTGGCCTGGAGTCTGGAAGAGGAGAAAAAACAGTTACAAAACCAGTAAGAATTTGAAAACAATGATGACGACAACAGGTGAAGGAATTGTTTGATTTTAGGAAATCAGGAACAATCAAATTAATTGTTAATTGCGTTTGAGTATTTTATTTGGTGTCACCTGCTTCTCCTCTTTCTTGACGAGCTGCGGACTAGCTGAGATCTCCTGCGCGTCTTTGCTCCGTGTGCTGTTAGCCAGCGCCACCTTCAGGTTCCTGTTGACGACGTCAGTCAACGGAGTCTCCACCCTCTCTCCAGGCATAGATCTTCCACCTGGAGTCTCCAGAGCTCCCAGGGCATCCTGAAATAACAGACTACTGTCTATTAGATTTTTTTCTTTTTTAAATAAGGATGATGGAGAATTTAGACAACAATCCTCCAGTCAGCCCCGACCTTGACGTTGAAGGTTGGCCTGAAGAGCTGGTCTCTGCTGAGGAAACGAGAGGGAGTGTCCAGCTGCAGCGAAGGCTCCTTCTGAAGCTGTTTCCTCCTGGAACCGCCCTCCTGATTTGGTTTTGGGGAGCTGACGTCTTTGGGCTTCATCTCGTCCAGGACGGAACGGAAGACTTTGCTCTGAAAGCGACCCAAGTCCAGTGGAGTCACCGCTTTGCCACTCTGGAAACCCAGCAAAGGGATTTCAGGAGATAAACGGGCCGAGGGCATCGTGGCCGGCTTCTGGGACCCCCCGACGAAACTCTCTTCATCCCTCTCTGTGGAAGAAGAAGATAATCAAACTAAATCTACCTCTGAAAAAAAGATTAAATGAGTGACAACAAAAGCATTTTCTGATCATTAATTTTTTTTTAACCTGGTGATGGAGGACGATCCACCAGGAACTTCTCCTCGTCTGCTCTTTTCCCAGTGCGAGCAGACTCCAGGATCCAGTGCATGGTGACGGCAGGAAGCCCCCATTTCTTTGCCGCCTCGTACTTGGTGCCTTCAGGGCTCTGCAGCACCAGGTGGGTGCTGGCCACCATGCCTTTCTTCTGGTTGGCCAGGCGCACAAAGTAATCCTGTACGCTGCAGGAGGAAGCCAGAGAAATGAATGTTGAGTTTAAGTATTTCCTAAGGAGGGGTTCGGTTTGTAGTGGCTGAGAGAGTCGGTACCTGGCTCCGAGGTGTTTGGCCAGTTCCACCAAAGATTCTCTCTCTGCTCCGGTGAACTGGCTGACGGAGAGAACGCTGTCTTTCAGGGGGAGACGTCCGTCCATGACGAGAACAGGAGTGAAGAGAGGGTTGGAGGAGAGTTGGAGGACACAGTCCTCCTCCACACACATGGCCTGGGATATGAGGAGAGAGGTGACGTCAATTCTCTCTGTTAATTTATTTATAGGAAATAGGTGACGTCAATTCTCTCTGTTAATTTAATTATAGGAAATATGTAAAAATAAACAGTTGAAGTGAGTCTATGTGTGATCTCACCAGCCAGGTGTCCGTCACCACCTCATCCACTGTCGCCTCCACTGAACAGCCCAACAGAGGTACCACAGCGAAATCAGCGACGATCCGTGTTCGACCCGTCAGAACTCTCCCTCCGTGCTCCGTCACCAACGCAGAGAGCTGGGCTTCAGCCTCCGAGCCGAAGCCCACCAGAAGAAAACACTTTCCGAAGAACAGACCGGCCCCGCTGGCCTCCTGCAGGGTGGACTCTGTTTCTCTCAGTCTGGACTGCTGTGGAGCCCAGGACTCTGTGGGCCGTGGTTCTGCTCTCATGGACGTCCTGTTGTTGTTCTCAGGTTCTGGTGGCGGCAGGTCAACTGAAAGAATAATATTGACATATTTATATCATCTGGTTTCACCAGTTTGATTTATTTTGCTCCAAGTAAAGGGTCAGTGAGTGACAGACACACACACCTACTGTTGGGTCATCATCCATGTACTGTGACAACAGGTCTTCCTCTGCCTTTCTGGGGGTTTCAGGACTGGCCACAGGGGGGCCCAGTGAGGGCCGGGAGGTGGGAACGTGTCTGACTGGCGCGGATACGGCGGGTAGGGTGGGAGGCAGGCAGTCGGAGTGGAAGAAGTCTGACTCTGGGAGTAAAGTGCCTTTGGTGAAACTGTCCAGCAGCCACTGCACTGTTACCACATGAGGCCTGGAGAAAAAAAAAAACACAGAGTGAAGGAGTCAATACTGACATAACAGTGTCATCGCTGAGGTCTTTGTAACTTAACACGTCTTCCTGGTTAATATTCAAGGATTTTTTAATGCTATTCCAGTTGAAAAAACAACATTACGGTTTAACAATCGGCTATTTCTGCTTAATTTTCTGGTTATCTTTTAGCTACCTACATTTTTTTTTACCTGCTAAATGTCAATTTTATAATTTTCCATTCAGTAAAGTTCACATTTTTTATTTTATTTTTCCACATTCTTTTCTATAATTTTCCATTCAGTAAAGTTCACAGTTTTTTATTTCATTTATTTGATTTTTCCAAATTTTTTTAACCTTTTTGTTCACCTTTCAGCTCTGATCTCTCTGCTTTTTATTATTGCATTTTTAATAATGTTTTTTACCATTTGTTTGGCGAACATTTGGCTCATTGTATTTTTTCCATGTATTTTCATTGACTTTAAAGGAGATGAAGCAGCTACGGTAACTTTTTGTTTTTGGTTGTGTGTTTGTTTGTTTTTTTTGTTTTTTTGTCCTTACCTGTGATTGGCTTTGGAGATGAAGGTCTTGAGGTCCTGGTCCAGGTCTCCCATAACCACATGTGTCAGTTCCTCACTCGGCTGGTTGAAGTGCAGACCACCTGCTGTGTTGACGAGACGTCGCAGCTTCTCCATTTTCTTGGCCGGCAGACCACACAGGTAGAGCTGAACCAAATTCAACACATGGATTAATCTGGTTGATTCTATTGGTTGAAAAATCTCACATGACGTAATAACACAAAAGAGATATTCTACCTTACAACCGTCCAGTAAATCATCAGCTGGAGAGACAGTGATGTCCATGTTGTCTGTAAGGTCGGGGGCCTCCAGACGACTCATGGTGGTGTTATCGGTCAGAGCCGTTTCCTGTATGGTCATACTGGCGTTGACGGAGATGTGACTCAAGCCCAACAAAGACAGACTCTCTAAAGCGGAAAAAATAAATGAATGAATAAAATCAAAATGGATTCAAATGATAAAAAGAGAAACAAAAATAAAATGAATGAGACAGACTCGTGTGCTGCTCACCTCCCTTCTTGTTGGATCCAGTCGGGGTAGAGGTGTGAGGTCGGGTGTTGGTCTTGGACGTCTTTTGTTCTACTTTGTATCTGCTCTCATCCTGACAGTAGCCTTTCTCGATGCTGTCAAACAGCCAGAGCAGCGACACGCAGTACACGTTCCACTTACGAGCGCATTCATACTTTTGTCCTGCAGACAAATAAATACAGACTCTCTGGATTACACAGCCCAGCAACAGCAGAATTTAATTATTGGTGCACATTTACTTATACTGAACCTAAAACGTCTGTGATCTTGCATGTTTACTGATCTCATACATGTAAATGCCCACAATATTAAGCATTTACAAATTAAATGGCTCATAAAATGCCTTTGATGTTGCACATTTGCGGAAACAACTTTGAACATAAAATAGTTCACATTGAGCAATAATATTGCACATATCAATGTCGGTGACATTGCACATGTATGAATACAACTGCACATAAATATATATATGTGTTTACATATATATGTACAGTATACACATATAAGTATGTATATAAATACATATATACATATGTATATACATATATAAACATATACATTCATATATACATACATATATACATACATACATATATATATACATATACTTCATATTTACTCATATTATTGCACAATAAAAATCCCTGTGGTGTTGCACATTTCATAATAATACTACATATAAAATTGACCGCAGGAACAGTGTTCAGATGGTGGAATAAACTGCCAACAACGTACCTGTTGGTTCATCAACAATGAGGTGGGTACACTCATTCATTTTGAGCTGTCCACTGTAATTTCCCCCGTGCTGCTGACACAGACGCTGCACCTCCCTTCGATCCGTGCTGGAGAGTCCGGTCACACACACGGTGCAACCGAGCAGCACAGGGCACAGGTAGTCCTCAGTGGGTAAGTCTGTGAACCTGAACAGACTGAACAGAAGAGCAGAGTCAAACCAGTATTTCTGTGTCCAGATGACACTCACGAACCTTCAGATTTCAGTGATGAATATACGGTATGTAACTGTAAATAAAACTCTACCTGTCCTGTGATTTTTCCCAGCATGCTTTGACCCAAGAGGGCAGCAGGATGGGTTTTCCCAGGCTGCCAGCCACCAGGTACTTCTTACTGCCCACCTCTCCTGCAATCAGGTGTGTGACTGGCAAACTAAGGTCGAGAAAGACCCGACCGCCCATGAGTTGGACAAGATCCATCATCTCTTTCTGCAGAAACACACAGACTCTGTGACATTTATATATGTATCATGAAGTTCATCCAATAGGTTTTGTTTATTTTAATTGTTAAAAAAAAATCACTGATAATGCCATGACCATCAACTCCTGTTTCAACAGCACTTACCCGTGTTCCTTTATCTAGGCTTGTGCAGGAAATGACGACGTCAGCCATGGCCATGTTATACACAGGCTTCTCCGCCTTAGGGACACAGCGCTGGTGCTGCAGGCAGTACAGCACCACCAATGGACTCACAATTCGACATCCGAGCTTTGGAACAAATAAAAGGGCGACGTAAAACAAATTTATGGATACAAGTACACAGTATATATATTAACATGTAAATCAAACCTTGGAGCAGTGCAGAAATGCAGGAGAGCTAAAGGAGCTGAAGACAAACAGAGCATTGTCCCGCTTGTCCATCTGTAAAACATCTTCCTCTGAGACGGTTTTTAAGTACTTCTCAGACTGCAGCTCCGAAATGGCCTGTGGACAATGAAGACATTTATGTTAAAGATGGCAGATAAGCAAACAATGTCAACAGGAAGTTGGAGCAAGACTGAGCTGGAGCAAGTTTAAGTTGTTTGTATGTTTTTTTAAAACTAGGACAGAAAAGATTGAACCTGACACCTGAAGGGAGCAGCGCCAGGAAAACTTAGAAAGAGACAGTTAGACATTGAGTTGAGTTTACCTCATAAGCCTTGACAGCATATTCCGTTTGTTGGCCTTGACTCTCCACAAACTTCACGATAAAGTCGTTCGTGTCACTTTCAGACATGGTCAACCCTTTCACACACAAATTACGCCAAACATTAATGACAATGGGTGACTTAGAAGAAAAGTAATACACAGAAGATACGTTTATGTTTACGTAAAATGCTACAACGTTTAGCCACATTTGACAGTCCAACAGTGCCTAGTTTACAAGAGCCAAACCGATGGGTACTCACCTTTAGTCAGCTTTTGGGTGTTAACAAATTAAAGTAGTGTAATGACAGCAATATAAACCAAGTCCGACTACAAACAGAATTATTTTTTTAACGTTGTTACGTCTCGTCGAGGACGAACTCATCGATACATGTCACTTTCTCCAGATCTGCTGCCCTTTGGTCTATGCAAGTCAAGGAAACGCCGATAAGCTAACATTCGAACTTAGCTAAAAAAACTTAAAAAATATATATATTTCCAATTATCACTGCAGTGGTATTGGTACTGTCTAGCAAGGCCTGGAAATATTAAAAAATATTTGTAAATTTATGGAGACTGTTCAGCGAAATTGAACGGTGCTCTTTGTTGATGTTGTTCGCGCCATTTACGTTATTTCCGGTGTTCCCCGGTAATCTAGCCGTGTTGAAACAAACACCGGGAAGAAAAAGACCCATAAACAACATTGAATACAAAAATGTATTCACTTAAACCTAAAAGTCTATACATTGTAAAAATATATCAGCTATGCGAATACTAAAGTTATATTGTTTTTAATAAGAAACAACATAACGTTACTTTTACATTAATAATTCAACCATCGCCTTAACAATTTTAATATTCTTCGTGGAAACATTTCCCTCACAGTCGTTGTATACAATCTTTTTTCTTTTAAAGTGGAAACGTGTGAAAGGTTTTCCTTCCTAAAAGTGTTTTTCTAGCAACTGGATTCCAAAATAAACATAAAATAATGTTTGCCAAAAGTGTGATATTAAGTGTCAGTCCAGAAAAATTCTGGTCCTCCAAAAAATATAGTTGGTTTATGCATGTATCACATCTTATTTCCAGAACATAAATGTAAAATGAAAAAGAACAACATTGTGGTTTCCCTTTTATTCGTAAAATCTTTATGTACAAGTGCGACAGATTTTTATTTTTTTTTGTAATGTACATTCAATATAGAAAGTTTATATACGTAATATTACATGAAACAATTCACAAATTGCACTAGTCTTTCACATAGATTCATAATCAGGGGTTAATGTCATTTATCACATCCTAGGAGAAGTCCATTTCACTTGGACATTATTCTTCATAAATATTCTAGTGCTTTTTGCGTACTGGGGAGAGAAGAAAAATCACCAATACAAATGTGGCAGGTTGGACAGCCTTCAAAGAGAAAGCAGAACAACAATTATTTCAGATCAGAATACATCAGTCAAAATGTGTTGCCAGTCTGGAGCAGGATAACGGGAAAGAGGCCATTTACCTTAGAATTGTTATGGGGAGAAAAGAAAAGAGTAAAAAATGCTCATACAAAAAAAGTAAACAGTTCTCTGTCATTGGAAAAAAAATGCAGAAATGTATCACAGAAACTAAACAAATGTGGTCATCGGTTAAAACAATTACAAAGTGTTTATGCAGACTTGAGTGCCATTTGTAAAATGGAAGGGGCAGGGGGTGAGAGGAGAGATCCTGGAGGAGACGGTGCACAGATTTTGGTGACAGTCGCTGACAGCTCACTCCCCTCCATCTCCTCCGTCTTCGTTATTCCCTGGTGAGGGGACTAGAACAGTCTCTCTCTGAGCTGCAGCTGTGAGGCAGCGGGGCAGTCTGGGTGCCTGAGCGTGACTGTCTTTGTGTGTGTGTGTGTGTGTGTGTTCGTCAGCCCTGGTCTCCAATGTCGTTGTCCACAGGGGGTGGGACGCTGGGCATCACCGTGGTGCCAGTTCCTGCTGTAAGGTAACCTGCGACTCCTGGACCTGAAGAGGAAACAACGTCAGGTAAGATACAGTAGGTGACGTCACTACTTCCACGGTGAACGGAATAAAGTGATGGTGAAGTTACTAATACTACAAGGAACAGGTTTAGTGGAGTAATGACAGCCATGTCAAGTAGTTCTGTGTTGATTTCCAATAACACCTGTAATATCAGTAATAGATTAAGTTTAGCTATTTTTGCTAACCTTTAGCAAATTTTGACAAATAATTTTGCTAACCTTTAGCAAATTTTGACATATTACATTATACTTTATTAAACTTTAGTCTAATGTATGCTACATTATTGAATCTGTCACCTATTAAAAACAGGGATGAAACTTTTAGTTCTTGTGGATTGTTAAACAGGAACACGAATAAAAGATGAAGTGACGGAAATGTAGAGTTAGACATCGAAGACAGTGGTTAGGATGGAGGCAGCGATTGGCTAATAGAGTGAGGACTAGGACTACCTGCATCAGAGCTAGAAAGAGGAGGGCTGTGAGGGGCCCAGCCCAGAAGTCTAGAGCCCACCTCGCAGTGGGCTGCTCGCAGCCAGGAGAGAAGGAGTGGAAACCCCTGAGAAAGAAAACATGGGGGGAGGGGCAACAACAGGAAGGGGAGGGGCAAAGCCAGGAAGTTAAAGGACAGAAAGAATCGCTGAGTTTGTGCAGAAGTGAGGAGTGGGGCCACAAAGTGTTTTTATTAGGAGCAAAGCAGAGCAAAGCAGTCGGATCTGAAAACACAGCAGAGACGAGACACTCACTGTGAAGTGATCACGACAGGGAACAGCAGGATGAGCCTGAAACACTTTACCTGTCAGGTAGCCTGCAGTCTGGGACTCTGAGATGAACAGATCATGCTTCTGGTCTTTGAAGGCGCTCCACACCGAGGACCTCGCAAGAATTTCATTCACCTGAGAAGAATTGACCGGTAAGGAATTAAAAAAAAAAGTAAATGAAAAGAGTCATTATCCAAATGTTTTCACTGATAATCCGGTACCTGTTCTCCGTACTGCAGACTGCGGGTCATGGACTTCAGCGCTTTGACGATCTGAGCCTTGGTGGCTGACGGGTTTTCTAATGTCTCCAGGCCGATGCCTTCAAGTAACTTCAGAAGATATGGAACCAGCTCCACTCTCAGTGCCTGACAAGATCATGAAGATGCAGCTTTATGTAGATTTAAAGGGTCATTACACCATTTACAGAATACAAATACATTTATATTGAGTTCATACCTGGGCGACCAGTTCTGTCTGCTCTTTCTGGAACATTCTGTTGAGAGCTTCACAGGCTAATCCGGCCATGTCTGCCCGTGCTTTCATTCCAGACATGAGTGGACCGATGGTGTCCAGAGCAGCCATGGAACGAACACACAGCTACACACAGCAAACAAGGAAATGTTACGGACACGATTCGAGAAAAGAAGAATATAAATCCTGTCATCCTCATATTGCTGAGAGAAAGTGGTGTAGTGGTAGTTAAAAAAATAATATGTGGGGACAGTGCCATGCTCAGAGCACCTCAGTGGCAGACTTGAACCTGAAACCTTCCAGACCCAAGTCCGCTTCCTCAACCACCAAGCCACCACTGCTGGCTTGCAATTAAATTGGGGTCGTGACCCCATATCTAGTCTTCCGGAAGGTTTGCCCTCATCATCAAGCCCCACATAACGTCCTATTTAGAGAGAGTGGTCGACTTCGTAGTCTCAGTCTTCACTGACCTCGTTGTCTGACAGTACGTGGATGAGGCGGATGGCGCTCTTGGGAATGGCGTTGTTCTTGTGGTTGAGTGCAGCCAGGATACGCGGCAGGTGACCCAGAGGAGGAACCTGGTCTGCTAGCTGACCCTGTGCACTGAAGAGACACACTGCTGCTGTGGTGACCGTCTCCAGGGCTTCACCCTGCAGGACCGCACGTTTTTTAGTGATTAAAAAACTTTTTTTTTTATTTGTAAAGTTGGTGTTTCTTAGTCAGGTCATCTCACATTAGGATTGTTTTTCTCCAGCAGCTCCGTCAGAGTCTCCAGAAGAGACACCAGGAACTCGCGGGGTTTGCGGAGCACCCAGCCCGGCTGAGCGATGAAGATGCGCAGGAAGACGCCACCGACTTCCAGTTCACCCTGTCCGGCTCCGTAGGCCATGGTGAAGACCTCTGGTAACTGGAAACACACGAACCACAAAGTTCAGAGGTCACAAATATATATATAAAAAAACACAACAGACTTTGTAAAGTTTGTACTATGTTCCATTTTTACACATACTTTCCAGTTCACGTCAGGATTATCCTTCTGCTGTTTAAAGTGCCTGAAGGAGGAAAAAGTTTCATCATCAGTCACAAAGCCAGGATCGTTATTATACTCAGTCATTAAATAAATAAACGTGCCGTACTCGAGCATCATTTCTCGCACTGTGGTGGAAACTTTCTCCCTCGAGTTGTCATTCCAGATGAGTTCAGGGTTCTCGTGTGTTCCCTCAAATATGTGCACGGCTGCCTCCGCGTTGTCCCGCATGGCGTCCATGAAGACACCAGGAAGAAAACGCATCAGAGTCAAACGCACCTAAAAGAAGAAAAAAATAATTCCAGTGTTTATCCACAGGATACATTTCAGCAAAAATGTGTTTTTTTTTTTAGTGGTTAATGCTGACCTTTGGTCCAACCAGCTTGTCTGAGGTCATTTTGGAGAAGAGCTCTGCGGTCTGTGTGCGAACCTGGGGATGTGTGCAGTTACAGAAGAGGTCCAGCAGATATATCAGTGCGCCTGAGAAGAGGACACACACACACACACATTATCACCTGATTGGTGAACTCAACATGACAGTGGAAACGCAGAACCACACCAACCTTTGGCCATCGCCTCTTTGACGATCTTTGTGTTTGATGTCAGTGCATAAAGGGTTTCCAGCACAATTTGTCTGCCTGAAAAAAAGACACAAAAATATGATTGAGGTTGAATGTATGGACATAGTGTGGCATAAGTTATAATTTAACCCTTTTTTCCCCTGTCATTTTCATGGCTCTCAGCTTTCTTAAAGTTTTAAATTTTTTATTTCGGTAGTTAAATGATTAAATTTTTTAATCTGATTAAACCCGGGGTAGCTGTAATTAATCAGGATGGTAATTAGTGCCTTATGGCAGCTGTCAAATGATAGAAAACAAATGGAAGTCTTAGTGTAATTTCTTACTGGAAGGAAGCGAGTGCAGCAGCAACAGAAGGTTGGACAAAACCAGGGACTCTGCAATGTTGCTCACACATTCTTGGTTCGATGTCACTGTGTTCACAACCTGCGGAAAAGACAGATGTGGTCAAACAGAAATACTTCCTGAGTAACATGACGATATGGTGTAAGTCAGGACGGTGTGTCTGTACCTCCAAAACCAGCTGCTGCACTCTCCCAGCTCCATGGACCCGCAACAAAGAGAAGAGCAGCTTGAAGTGACCGATGCACTCGGACTCCGAACCTGAAAGTCCGACAGAGGAAAGTGTGAGAAAACACAACGTTCACATCAATCAATCCTTGAATGAATGAAAACAACAATCACATCAATCAATCATCTTTATAAAATGGACCGTCTCTCACCAGGGTTGTTCTTGATGACGTTTCTAAGAGCCTCTAAAGCCATCTCAGCGAAGCGCAGCCTCTCGGCGTGCTGCTGTGACTCCACCTTGTTACTCTGACTCATGGCCAGGAGAGTGTGGAGGTACTGGGCCTGGGAGCCAACGTAGTCCAGCAGACTGGCTGCAAAGGCTTTGGGATACTATTAACAAATAAAAAAAACACACAAGTTATGGCAGCAACAATGAACTTAATTTAGGTCATTAAGTCAGGGTTTGATCTCTTCCTCACCTCAAGTGGAAAGGTTGGCTGCTCGTTGTAGACCCGCACAAAGATTTCACCAACTATCAGCTCCTTGCTGTGATCGCTGAAGACAAATTCTGCACCAAAGCTTTCATCGTTCTCTCCCTGTGAGAAGAAAAATGAAGAAAAGTTTAAAAGACAAACTCTCATCTCAAAAAGCCACATAAACCACTTTGGTGGTTTTTTTTTCTTATCTTACCCTCTTGATGTTTCCTTCCTGTTGACCCTCCAGAAACTCCAGCAGCTCGGCTCTTGTTACGTTGTTCCAGATCAGGTACGGGTTTTCGGAGTTGCTGTTCAGCAGCTTCAGAACCTAAATGTACAACATGAAGTATTAAACTCTGCCTCTCTGTCTGTGCAGATGTGACAATGAGTCGATTCTTGGGTTTTAACTGACCTCAGCAGGAGACCCTGTTCCCAGCTTCCGTGCGATGTACGGCGTCAACATGGCTGTCAAGCTCTTTCTGATGGTGGGGTTCTCAGGAGGCGGTTCGATGCCGTTGGTCTCTGAAACGGGATGGTTGCCCTCCGGGGTGTGCGGGGTTTGGCAGTAGCCTGCCAGGCGACTCAGGGCGATCAGGCTGAGCTTGGCCAAACTGTTTGCGACCTCCTGTTGGTTGGTGTCCTGATTCGCCTGCACGCCGCTCTCCTCCAGGGTGTAGTCGTAGTTGAAGAGCTTGACCAGCAGGTGCCAAAGCACACCGGCGTGGTACAGATGGGTCTGCAGGAAGAAGTCTACAGCAAAGGAGCTGACGCAAGTCACTGCTAGTGACGCAGTCTTTGGGAGACACTGAAAAAAGACAGGCAAAAAAATATATAAAAATATATAATATAATATAAATAACGCAAAAAGGATCAGATAAGAGAAGGAAGCAAACTCTAGAGATAAAAAAACAGACCTTAAATAAAAAAAAAAGGATGATTGATATCTTACAGTACATAAAAGCAGACCACAGACACATTCTTGCTCTCGCTGAACCACAGTCTCTCACCTTTCCGTAAAACAGGATGTGACACAGGTCTCTGATGATGTTCGGCTGCTCGATGATCTTCTCCCTGCATTCTTCAAACTGGGCTGCAACACTGTAGCACTTACAGATGTGCCCGCACACCTAGGTCACAGAAACGACCCAGAAGTTCAACACAGAGACAAATACTGTCAAAAAAATAAATAAAAGTGTCTGGAACTGGTTTAATTTTAGTTGTGTTTTCGTTATAAATTTTTTTTTTTTTTAACTGACAACATTTCATTAAGATTATGTCAAATTATTTGCAATGTGTAATATTTGAAATTTTAGAAATTTTAAACCATGTTAAAAACATCTCTATTGGTCTTTTTTTAAGCATTCTATTTATAATATCCTTTAGACCTACATAACTTTAGTCGACATCATTAGTTGATGAAATAAACAGCAATTATTTTTTTACCTGCACGGCCATGTCATCAGGTTTACTGGATGCCGTTAACACACCCACACATCGAGACAGAGCCTCCAACAACACCTGGTTAACAACAGACAAGAGACAACAGACAACACATTTTATCTGTTCATTTATTCTCGGCGCAGAAAGTCACTCACTGGTTAACGACTCAGTTCATGTTCCGGTTTATTGTGCTGATTTACCTCGATGCCATTCTCCCGTCGTAACTCCTCCGCGTTGAGCGCTGAGCAGTTGACCGTGTGAAAAGCCAGTTCGGCGGCTGCAGGGAGGAGGGGGGAAGTTTTGGAGAAGAGCTGGTCGTCATCCGTCTCCATTTTAATTGTTTTGATGAGCATGGGATAACCAGCGTATTTGTAGGGCTCCAGTTCTGTCACGAGACAAAGTCAGGTCAGTGTCAAAGTCAATGTCAGGAGATTAAACAAAATTTTAAAAAAATGTACGAGAAATAAATCCGGATCTATCTTCACACCTTGTCTGTGCCGGTTGAAGAGGATGCTCTGGGCTTTGAGGATCAGGATGATGTTTTCTGGGTCGGGGCCGTCTATGATTCGAGCAGACTTGGTGCAGAGAAACTCGTAGGCTTTGTTGACTTTCTCAAAAATGTCCTGACAGAACAAAGAGTTGGAAACAAATGAATTCAGAGTCTTCATACAGTATGATGTACTTTTACCACTGGGTTCTTCAACACTCACCCTGCCGTCTGGGTTCTTGTCAGGATGGTACTTCTGAGCCAGTCTGAAGTAGGCTTTCCTGATTTTACTCTCATCGTGCCTGCGGAAATACAGACGGATCAAAAAGCAAATTGAAGTTCCTTTTTGTGAAACGTTCCTAACATTTTGTGGGACATTAGAAATCCAGAGTCCACTCACTGTCCCTGTCCTCTAGGGAGGTTTAGAACTTCATAGGCGTCATCCACAGACATGGACGGGGGCTTCTTCTCCACTTCTCTCTTCCAGGCTTCAAGTGTGTCTTTCAGCAGCTTCACCTGAAGGAGAGACGACGGCAGCAGGGGTTCATTTTACAACCTTTCCTAAAGTGACTGACTGTAAATTCTACAGACGTATGGGATGTGAGGCACGTACGGCATCTCGAATGGGCCAGTTGGGGAAGCGGATGGTGTCACAAAGGTGTCTGAGGTAGTAGATGTTGCAGAAGAGCTCGTTGTCCAGCTGAGGGAAGCTGACCACAGGGATGGGACAGTACTGGTACAGAGCCCGCGTGTTGCTCTGCAGCCTGGGGCTGAAGTCGGCGATGTGGGCTGCGATCTTCTCAATCATCATGCGTCTGGGGAAATAAAAAAGTTCAGTTATGGTGTGTTTTTAAAATCCCTCCAGACCAGATGTTGGCTGTGAGACAGCTACCAGTCAGATAAGTGACCGCAGCAGCGTTTCTACCTCATCTCACTGCTCCAGATGGCCTCTGGCGTATCGAACTCTCCCAGGAATATCTCAGAAAAACGTTCGGCCTCGTAGTTCTCCAGGTAACACACCATGGCCTCTGGCAGCAACGCTCCCAGAACACTGCGCTGCACAATGTCCTGGCCTTTAGACTGTGGAAAAGATGACAACGAAAAAAGTTGAAGTTGAACTGATAATCCTGCACATTCAACACAAAACTGTAAAATCTAAAATAACACAGTTTTACCTCCTCTGATTTGAAGGCCTGCTTTAGGTGGGTGTACTTCAGGAACCTACAACAACAACAACATAGTGTTATATAAAATCATTGACACTATTTTTCAATAATTTAAGTGTAACTAGAAGATCTTTCTCCTTAATATTCTTTTTTACCTTGCTACAGGAAGCACATTGGAGCCCGTGTACATCATGATGAAGAAGAAGACTCCGCTCAAATAGAGGCGCTGCAGATTGGGGTTGTCCTGCATCACCCAGTACAAAACATTGGCCACTTTTTCTACCAGGATGGGGTCAAAGGTCAACAGCAGCTGTAGGCAACGCAGAAAAAAAATAATGATTGGGGTCAAAGGTCAACAGCAGCTGTAGGCGACGGAGTAAAAAACATCAAACATCATCATCAACATCAAAAACATCAGGTCTGGTTATTCAGCCAATCAGAGATGCAGAGGTGCAGGGTAACAACCTGGACGATGTGCGACAGACACGAGTTGTCACTGATCAGCCGCTTGATTTTGGGTAAAGGACGGATGATGGCGTTATCTTGGTCCCTGAGTGAACAGACGTGACATCATAGTAACAAAAAATAAATTAAAAAAATACGGCAACAAAAAAAGCTAAAGAATGCGTAGGATGTGTCACCTGCTGGGGTAGTAGGAGCACATGGTGATGAGCATGTTGAGGATGAGCGTGGCCAGATCAGACTCATTCATCACTGCCTGCCCTGTGGCCAGGAGACACCACTTCAGCTGAGGAATAGCCTGCAGGGGGCGCCAGCCATCCATGCCCTGAGCCCAGCAGCGTGTCTTTGCTGTGAGGACACCGGTGCTCCAGAACTCCTGCATCTGTACAGATGGAATGCAGCAGAAAAAATACATGAGGAGGGGGGCAATAAAAATCTGATGGTGTGACCTCTAGATGTTTTTGTTGAGCCTGACTAAGAACGAGGAGGTTTCTTTTGGAGGTGTTTGTTATCCTACCTCCTCAAAACTGAACGGTCCTCTCCGCTCCTTGTCTGCGTTTCCAAAGTACCACTCTTTCTCACTCTCTCTCTTCATGTCCGGCGCTGCCTCCAGCACGTTGGTCTGTGAGGAAAACAAACCAAATTCTGTCATTTAAACACATTTTTAGACTGAGGTCAGTGTTGAGTGTTAAGAGATTTTAGGCTTCACGTTTTGATTTTACCTGTAAAGGCACAGTAGCTCTGCTGGTGTGTAGATGAGCCAAGGTCAGCAGGTCAACCAGGATTCTCACGCCATTGGAGTCCATCACATCTTTTACGTTTTTCTACAAAAAAAAATAAAAAAAAATAGACAAAGTGGTATGAATCCGAGATGTCGCAGTTGGATTTTTTTTTTGGCAAATTTTGATTTGCACAGACTGCCAATCTGACCGGCCAATCAGGGCTGATACAAAGCATATCTAGTTTAAACAGCAATAACAGGTAAATTGGATTTTTTTTGGGCAAATTTGACCAGCCAATCAGGACTGATTCAAAGCATATCTAGTTTAAACAGGCAATAACAGGTAAAGACACTGCTTTTTTAAAACCAACCTTGTTGAGAATGAGTTTGTTAAGGAAGAGGATGAGTCGGTCTCTCTCCAGTTTGTCTGTGCACTGAAAACACAGGATGATGTGTCAGTTAAAAAGAATTAAAAAAATACAATGCCGCAGCGCCAACATTTAACAAACGAGCCTCTCACTCACTCTGTCCAACATGCCAACGATGAATTTGGTGTCAGTGAAGGGACCGATTTCCTCGAAGCACTTGCCGTAGACGATGGCCAGCGCCTGCAGACACAGGCACTTCATCGCAACTTTGGGCGTCAGCAGGGATCGATGGTAGAGTTCATTAAAAAACTCATAACTGAATGAAAAGACACGGGGGAGAAAAATGAAAATGGCTGTTGTTGCTACCATCAGCTCGTGTTGATGAATTTTGCCTCTTACGATCTCTTGATGGCACTGGATTCTTCATTTTCATCCTCCTCCAGCAGCAGACGCAGATAATAATCACCAATCTTTATCTCATCTGAAAGGCACTCGTACCTCACCTGCAAAAAGCATTAAAAACATTAGATTAAAAAATTAATAAAAATCTAGACAGGAATGAATGCAACATCCTGGGTCTGAGCACAAACCTCAAACTCCTGGTGGTTCCAGGAGATGACGGTGGCGCTGCCCAGCTCACGGTCCACGCCAAAGGCACGCATCTCCCCCTCCAGAGCGTCGCGCAGTTCTTCCCTCGTTTTTAGGTTCCAGATGAGGTTGGACCGCGAGTGGTCGGACTGGAATCTTAAGATCAAGGAGAATTTGGTGAATAATAAATCAAATGAAAAGAACGTCAGATTTGATTAGAGGTGGTGTCTGCAGCCGTCACTTTGTACCTGTAGTAGAAAAGCTCCCAGTTGGATTCAATCTTTATCCTCTGCCGTCGTTTCCTCAGGATGACAGGCTTTTGGTTTGGGTTCTGACAAACAACAGACACTGTGAGGTTACAGGTCAGCTTTCAAAGGTTGTTTGTGACATAGTGAGAGGGAGCGTTGAAAAGTCAGAAGGACAACATTGTGAGCATCAATGAATACAAACAAACACAGAGCAGACGAATGGCACCGATGGATGAAAAAGAAAGAAAACAACAACTTTTAACGTGGAGAAAAGTCAGTTATGACAGAAATTAGACCAAAGAAGCAGAATCTTAGCATGAAAACAGCAACAAAAACAGGTTCATGTGATACAAAAACTGAGATGGGATCCCAGAACTGGGTGTCTTCTGTCATTATGCCATAGTGAATATTCTAATTCACAATATATGTGAACACACACATACATATATACAAATATACACAAATATATACATACATATATATACATTTATATGCATTTATCTTGCTCTTTTGCATTATCTTATTTTATTAACATGTTTCCATGCCATCATCACCAGGCAGAATTCAAAACACACCCAATATTCTGCACAATGATAGAAAAATGGTTCAAGAGGAAAAAGTAATAAGAGTAATAATAATAATTTTAAAAACCCAGCATGGATCCCAGTGGTTAGTTCCTACTTACCAGGTTATTTCTGTCCTGCTGCAATGTTTTTGACAGCAGAGAAATCACAGTGGAGGAGGGGAGGGTCGGGCAGAGACAACACAGAGAGATTATTTGTCTTTGGATTTTACAGAGATGAATCACAACAAGGTCACAGGTCACTAGATTACTAACAGAAAGTGTGTAAGACTAAGGTGTAAATCTATCACTGTGGTTAATCATGCCAATTATGGAGATGATTACTCGCTTTAAAAGAGAAACAAATATACAAAGCAAAAATCAGTTTCAGCCACTGAGAGCTAAAGATGAGAGGAAGAAAAGAAGGAAGCAAATTTTAGGAGGAAAAATGATTTTTGTCAAGATTTGGATTTTGTGAAAAGACACAGAGCAGACGTCAAACTGAATCAACCACCTTACAATTTCTGCAGACATGATTTTAAAATTTTTTCTTTTCTTTTTTTTTTACAATTTCTTAAAATATTTCTTAAAATAAGTTAACGATGATGAATATGGCTGATGTTTAATTTCAACAACAGCTGTGGTAGAGATATGAACATTCATTGATAGTTTGCTGTTTTTAACACTTTGAGCATTGCATGTAAAGACAAGCAGAAAATATTATAGACACAAAAGACAAAAGCAAACGAAATGATGAAGATTTAGATCAGGAAGCATCAATTCCGACAACGATAACCAGGCACGAAGTCAAAACACTGACAGAGGAAGAAAAAAAAAAAAGAGAAGAAAAAAAGTTTTTTTTGTTGTTTTTTTTAAACTTGGACATTGCAGTACTGTACAGAATCAGCAGGGGGAGCAATAGCTGTGGAATCCAGAGATGCAGCAGCAGCCAGATTCGTTCAATTTAATCAGTGTCACTGCAGAGACAAACTTCTCCTCACCTCCTTCTGTGCGATGCCCATCTTATCTCTCCAGTGCATGAGAACCAGGTCCGTCTTTTCTTTGGCAAACTTCTCCACCTCTTTGGCTGCTTTGCCCGCGATTCGCTGCCACTCAGGAACTTTGTTTCTGTTCAGCTGGTCCTGATGAGAAGGGAAAAACACGAAGCAACAAATAAGTTTAGTGTGGACCGCCCTGTCTTTTATTTACCCGACGATACTGTCATGTCTTTGTTTAGATACCGTGGCTAATTTGAGGTTGTCACGAATGTGCATCCGGTCCATGTCTTTCTCGGGGACTGGATCTGGACTGTCCAGGTAGGCCAGCAGCCCTGTAGGCTAAGAACCCAGCAGGGGGAGACAACTGTGAGTTGGTCAGGGCTTTAAACACGGCCAGAAAAAGAACTGGCGTTCATCCTGGAATACTTTGTCTGTTCTGCTCTCATTAAAGTAATTGCTGCTGATATGAGTGTTTGGACGGTCTTGGTGCCAAAGTACTTTGTTTAAGGACTCACCAGTATTCTTTTCAGGAGGTTGATGGCAACAGGATTCTCTGCCGTCCACAGTCCTACCAGGTGACGACTCAGTTGTCTGGAAAATAAATGTTTACCGTGAGCTAATGCAATGTCTCGTGTGTCAGACAGAGGCTCTTTATGCTATATTTTAAGGGCCTCTAACCCCTGGTACATGGACCAGTACCAGCAGGTCATTTGGTACCAGGCTGCAGTAAAGTAATTTACTTCAATTAAAGATATTTGGTAAGGTTTCAAAATAATACGTATTTCAGACTCTATTACTAACAGAATAAAGACAAAAAGACTCCTTTTAAAGGAGTTCATTGAGGTCTGACCTGTTGGTGAGCATCCTCTGATCAGAGCTGATGGTGAACAGAGATGTGTGTAGGTGTCGTGGTAACGCTCCTTCACTTAAAGCCAGCTCCTGCATCTTGGTGGCTATTTCCTTGTCTCCTTCCTGAAAAAAAACAAAAATTTCCTTGTCTCCTTCCTGAAAAAAAAAAACAAAAAACACACAGGAAACCGGTTCATGATGTGGAGCAGTTTTGAAGGCGACATATTCCAATTTTATACATGCCATCAAAGTGAAACGTTAGAAACAAAGTTTGGACTAAAAAAAAAAAACAAAGCACTGATTTTGGCCCTGTGAAAAAATACAGTTGATCGTGCAATGTTTACCTCAATGATGGCCTTCATTACCAGCCCAGCACCTTTCACTATGGCCATAGACGGATGCTGGAGGAAACAAAAACGTTTTCGATTGGTCAACTTCACTCATACGTTTTATTGTTGCTGTTATAAAACAATTTAAATGGAATTTAAAGAAAAAACCTGAAAGAGTTTGAACAGCGTGCGTCCGTTGGATGCCACCATCTCCAGCAGCATGTCAAACTGCTGACCCTCAGTGGTTTCACTGTAGGGGGCGCACAGGGCAAAGGTTAAGAAGTCCAGTAAGGAGCTGATGACCAGAGCTCCTGTCCCGTGGTCCTGGAGATTAAAAAAACAAAAGCATGAGAACACGAAGCTTCAACAGCTCATAACAAAAGGTACAGTTACAGCTGAGGCTGTAAAGCAGAAGCAGAAATTCACCACGTTAGTGATGAATTTTTCAAGGAGATTTTCCAGGAACTTCTTTGAAGACAGCAGTGAGGCTTTGTTCAGCTGCTCCTGCCTCAGGTCGTAGTCGTCGTGCATGATAACAACGCGAAACAGAGAGGAGAGAAAGAGAGAGAGAGAGGATCCAAATCAGTCAGAACCAAAGACATCGCTTTGTTTATTAGGAAAACACACGTTGATGATGTCGATGAAGTCGTACTTACACACATCAGGGCACAGAGCATGTCGATAGCAGCATGTGTCACGCCGTTGTTGTTCCTTTTTAAAGCTTTTACCGTTTTTACTCCCAGTTTTTCCCTAAACCTTGGAAATTCAAAAAAAAAAAATTCACATTTTTAACGAAAAATAACCTGACACTGAAGAGCCTGACATGATTCCCTGACTCTTTTGGGAGGAACAAAAGGATGATGTTTCACATGTTTTCAATGAGTGTAAAAATTATTTACTTTCCAGGTTTTGTGGGGCGTGTGGGGAAACCAGCCTTCTGACCACAGGTTAGAAACATGCTACTGCTACTAACAGGTGAGAAGGTGAAGCAGAACGTGTCCTGCATCCTTACTTAGGCAGCTGGGTGAAGGCCTGGAAACCAGCCTTGGAGGCCACCAAACGGCGAATGGCCTGGAAATGGCTCTCCAGCTCAGCGTTCAGCGCAGGCAGCTCAGCCTCCTGAGATAAAAGGGCCAGGATGGCGTTGTTGATCAGCTTCTCTTTGTTCTCTGAGAACAGACCCTGTGGAGAGAACAGGCACAGGGAAGATGATGATGATGATGGTGATGAGTGAATCACTGTGATGAGTCGTGGCCAGAGCAGATGGGAAGAAAAAAAAACCATCAACAGGAGCCGAGGACAACTCACATCTTGGGTTACAGCGTGCAGAACTCCACTGTAGGAGATGTTGGCGTTGAACCTGAACACGGCATCAGCAAAGTTTCCACCTGAGCACAGAGGGGGGAAAGTGTTGATCATTGTACATGAGGTAGACAGTATGTGGTGGGTACTGTATATCACCTGGACATTTTTATAGGACTCTGCCTACAGACAGATGTGCAGCTGTTCTCAGAAGCAGCAGAAACCCATAATACATGTACGACTTTTTTTCTTTTCTTTTTTTTAAGACGCAGAGAGATGAGACAAAGAGGGAAGATCAAAAAACAAAACAGTGCTTCCATATGTGAGGTGTTTCCTGAAGTCAGATTCAGGTCAGGAGGAAGTTGTTATACAACGTTCTGCATTTTTAAAAAGAAAGTGTTCTTTAACAGTACATCATGATACTTCATGGTTTAATACTTTCTTTTTTTTATTTAGTTGCAATTTCTTCACTATTTTCTTTGACTTACTTTAATTAATTAATGTTTTAAAGCAAATTTTCTATTTTTTAAAAAAACATTAAATCTATTCAGCTTTATAAGGATGAAGAGCTCACTTGGTGGTGCGGCCAGAAATTTGAGATGCAAACTCTCCACCTCCTCGTCCACAGGCATGCTCAGTAAACCCCATCTCTGTCCTCGCCGCGTGGGCGCCATTTTCACACACACGTCCCTGTTGCCTGACGCTCGCACACCGTCAAGTAGACTGGCCAACAGGGAGTCCCTGCCAACACACGTAAACACACTGAGTTAATGTGTTATGTCAACAAACGCAGCGCACTTACATGTGATATGTGATATTTCACACGCAGCGGAACCGAAAGATGCACACGTTACATCTGTACCTCTCTGTGGAGGAGAACTTCCTGATCTGACCTCGGATGAACTCTACTGTAAACACCTGAGGATTGTCAACGTCACAAATGAGAGCAAAGACCTGGAGGGAGAGAGAAAAGAAATTCAGGGATGCAGATAAGATATGAGAGCAAAAACAGATGGTGCAAAAAAAAAAAACAGCCAAATCCCACAGGAATATTTAGTGGAATTTGTTGAAACGCAGTCACAGAAATTAAGGCCGTTTAGAGGTAATAAGAAAGTACAATATACACCTAAGACCTAATGAAGTGACCATTGCGGGTAGTGTTTGTGAGTGTTTACCTCTCCAAAGGGTTTGAGGGTGACTATATTGTAGGAAGCTGGGTCTCTCTCCACCAGACATGTTTCTGTCAGTGCCAGGATGCGCTTTACAGGTTCCTGGGAGATAAAAAAAAAAGAGCAAAGTGTTAAGTGATGCAACTCAAAAGTATCCCAGGACAATTACATCAAATTAATAAAACGTTTTTTTCTTTTTATCTAGACATCTTGACAATCGTTTCTAGAACAAAACTCTAAATTATACTGCAGTGAGTCAAACAGGAACTGGTATAACGTTCTGACCGAGTGGCGAGGGGTGATCTTCTGTACCACGAACTCAGCCAAGGAAGTGATGCTTTCATCTGAGCTGTACTTCCCCAACCTGTCCGTCACGGAATCCTCAAAGGTCAAAGCCTCCTTCCTGAGCCGTAGTGTGATGCCAATGAAGTTCCCAGCATGCTCGATGGCACTGCGGATGATTTCGTCTCGGTTCTCCGAGGCAAACAGATGCTGACGGAAGGAAGCGAATTAGTCAGTGGAGCACGAGCACAACACCAAACAAACACACTCTCACACACACACACACACACACACACACACACACGTACCAGTCTGCTAAAGCCTCCATAGATGACGCAGAATCCTCCCTGGTAATCTGAGAGCTCCACGAAGCCTTCTACGTTTCGGTAGTCGTACGAACACAACACTCTGTTGGTTTGGGGGTCAATCTGATCGATGCCGCCCGGTGTGACCTCTAAACTCACAGCCTTCCGCGTGTCACTCCAGTGATGCTTATAACAGTTGTAACGCTGTTGGGGAGAGAGAGACACGTGTCACTAAATTTTCTTCCTTCTGAACTCCGTGACTGACTGACACGACTACGGTCACTGGTTGAAATACTCACCCTGCCTGTTATTTTTCCTTCTGAAAACTCTGTTCTGAATCTCTGTAAAAAGAAAAAAAAAACATAATTAAATTATAGAAATAACCTGAGCAGAGTGACACTTGAATGCTGTTTATCTCGTTAGCTCAGCAGCATGACCTCCAGGGCAGTGAACTGTCTCTGCCGATTTACACTCTTTAATGAACACAAAGAATAAGTCAAACAGTCGATGATTTGTGAGCTCCGTGTGATAATTACAGACATGCGGAAAAATTGAGTTAAAGGAAGCATGAATGGGCTGCATCAATCACGCTAACTTTTTGCTTTCTTTTTTTTTTTTTTTTAATTATATAAGTGCACAAGGTCTGTTGACGCTCAGTGAATGATGAGGGTAAAGAAGTGCATTTTTAATCTCTTCACCAGTGCTTCTGTGAGCAGTTCTGTCCGATGCTCTGTTGAGAACTTGAGCGTTTCCGACTTCTTGCCACTGCCTTTGCGGAATGTGAGGTTGAACTCCGTTCCCTGACCTTTTCCCACTGGGCCGATGCCGCAGATGTCTCCGTAAGGCCACTGTTGAAGACAGCAGAGGACACGTGTGATGTCACACAAACAAAATTGAGAAGGAACAGAAATCATTTGTCACGTGGCAATTTTTAACTTTAACGACAAAAAGGAAAAAGGACGACGGCCATTTTGATTCCTTCTGTTTACAGATTTTAACAAAGGTAAACACACAACAAAAAATGAGACAGGGAGGAAAATGAAACTGCACTTGGGCCGTCGAGCATATATAATGGATTTTCATTGGTTGGAAGAAGCCAAGAACAGCACATCCCACAGACATCTGGTTGGTACTGATAGCCACAGTGGAGATTAAAAAAAACCAATAATGACGCTGCTGTTCTCCTCCGTCGGTCTGCATTCGTACTGACCTGATTTGTTACTTCTAACGTGGTGGGATTGTAAGTGGTGATGCCATGTGTGCCCACGGAGAAGACTCGCTTGTACCTGGAACACAAAGACGGTGATGAGTCAGACACGCAGATGTATGTACTCCTTATCAACACCTACCAAAACCAAACACCAAACACTGGACGTGGTGAACAAAGCACATGTAACACAGTCAGTGTTGATGACTTCACCCCGTTTCCCCGAAGCTTCAATAATTCAGATGTGTCATTTCATGAATAACGATGTACAAGAAGAGCATGCGTTAGGTGATAACAGCACAAGCGTGACACACATAGAAACACTTTTCATTTCATTTTCATACATTTTATCACAGTAGAAAAACGTCTATTTTAAACACAGCGGCACAAGCGTGACACACATAGAAACACTGATTATTTTCATACATTTTATCACAATAGAAAAACGTCTATTTTAAACACAGCACTGCTGACTCGTGTCACTCTACACGGTGTTTATGGTCCAACATAAGAGCAATTTGTCCAACTACAAAGTGAATACAGTTGGACCGACATAAAGAGAATCTCTGACGGGGGACAGAGCGTGCTTTATGCTATTCTGCACAGTACTAATGTCATTACAACTGCTACTTAACCCTTTGAACTCCAAAGGTCATTCTGAGATTTCTGTTTTAAAAAAATGACATGTGAACTGAGGATTTATCAGGGATTTAAAAAAAAACTCTACATCACTTTGGCATCAAAATGAAAGTTGATCAATCACTTAAAATCGCTTAAAATTTAATAGAACTCTCTTTGGAGGAAGTGTGAAATTCATGGTTTTTGTTCTCTGACCTTTTGCTAAGGAGCACGGAGGCACGCCTGAAAGGTCAATGTGTGATTTGCAACACTTTCAGCAAAACATTTTATCCATATTTTAGCATAAAATTGGCCATTTAAGGGTCTTGGATGTGTTAAAAAATAAAATAAAATGAAAAAATATTGCTAATTTCACTAAGGCAATTGGACAATCAGACCGGGGGAGTACATCTATACATGTATATTTCAGGCAAGGCCAAAGTGGAATATAAAATCAAGACTGTCAATACAGTTAGTCCTCCTTCACCCTGGAAAATAATATTAATATTTTCTTTTGTCATTTTTCATTCATTAAAAATGGCTCCTCTCTCACTGTGTGGTCATACTGAACCATAAACTATGAGACCACAACAGATCCTGACCTCCCGCTGCACACATTTTGACCTTGGGTGTAGGAGTGCCAGAGTATCTCAAGTGTCAACCTTGTCAATTATTTATTCTTGTATTCAAACACCCTCATTTTAGTTTGACTATTTCTGAAGCTACAAATGCACGTTTTACCCTTTTAGAAGATAAACGTTACGGATCAATGAACGTCAGGCAAATGTGAGTTTAAATAATTTTCTGAAATGACACCAGATGATCAACAAACTCTGTTCAAATGGATAATTAAACTAATCTATGAAAACAATTTCAATCAGGTTTGAGATGTGAAAAAAATATTTATGTTTTTATGTTATATGTGACCAGTCATTAAACCTGATTCAGTGCCATTCATAAAGGACCAATAGTAAAAAAAAGAGGAACCCTGAACATCCACGGTGGTATGACCCAATGTTCTAGAAACCCTTTCGGGGAGGGAAAATCTCACTTCTGTCAAAGAAGTGCGACTTTGCAATCATCAAGTTTCATTTTCATTTCTAATAAACACTTGGTCTCTAATGGTCTTCCCTGCATCACTCTGCTTTTATTTTTCTTTCACTCTCTTTGGTAAAGTTATATCTGAATCATCATTACTGTCTCCTCCCAGGACAGGAAGACCAGCGATAAAACCCAGCAACGCTGACTAATTCAGATGGCCTATCAGGACGAGTTGAGTGTAGTGTCCGTTGTACATCATCAGTCTCCACCACAGTCCATCAACACTCGTCTCTGCCGGACACTTACCCACACAAGTTGCGTTTGCAGGACGATGCTCTGATGGAGATGCTAATGCGCTGCAGCCGTGGTTAAGTTACCAGAGTCAATGGCCGGCCTTAATGGGGCTATTTAGAAAGCAGGTATTGGTAATATGATCCCTACAGGCTCAGGGCTCCTACTGGAGGACACCCATTCTTCTGGATCTTAAGCCAATGTCCCTTTGTAGACTAAAGCGTGCCCTTTAACAGTAACATATAATCTACAACAGGAACTGGAAACGATCAGACAAACTGGTTCACAGATTAAGGTGAGGTAAAAGGTTTATATCCTGATGAATATGGTCTTTTGTCGTTCTAACAGCTCATTTTAATGTGAAATCAACTGGGATTCTCAAACCTAAACACCTTGGAGCCAACGAGAGTCAAAGGCATCAACTAATAAAACGTCCGTCCAAGAACCTGAATGGGTTCAGAACCTAACATAAACTATTTATCTTTTTTTAAATCTTTTTTTCCCCCGGTTTGATGCCAGGCATCTGGCAGTGGTTTTTACGACATCAGTGAAGGTTTGCTTGGTGGAAGAAATAAATAAAAAAAGAAAGGATAATAAACCACTCTCTAAGAATCGGTCTGTGTGTACGTTCAGCCTTCAACACCTTTAACTTCTAAACAATACAATCTGTAACCCTGTTATTTGGACATATATTTTAGGTATTGGTGTTCTAAACAATGGATTCGAGTAACATTTAATACGCTTTGAAAGTGAAAACATCTGACGGCCCCTAAAACACAACATGTCTGATGACTACAATGCAGAATTGCAACATTTTATTTTTTATTTTAAAGATTTAAGTGAATCACCTTCAAACCTAAAACGATCTAAAACGCAAATGTCTTCCTTTCGGTTTGATTTACAGTACTTGCTGGGCAGCAAACACCAGTCACACACACTGCTGTCGATTGGTGTTGGGCAGACCTGCTGCACTCAGCTGAGATAAGGAAGTCATCACACAATGGTAGCACTGAGTCAGGATGTCAGGAAGATTTTCCCAAACCTCCTTTTACAACATAATAAGGAGAAGAAGAGGCGAGGTTTATTCTTACTTGTAAACTGATACAGAAATGTGAAAAAAAAAGACAATGACTTCAGCAGCAGCTCTCAAATCCTACCACTGAAAAAAAAAAACAAAAAGAAAATCTGACTTACTTTCCCCTCCAGGAGTGTTTGGTCGTGTAGAAACAGGCCAAGTCCTTGTTTTCTTTGACGACATTCATCTTTTCACAAGGCCTACAAACAGACGGAGAGGAAGTTACTCTTCAGTTCAGACAACAGAAATATTTTTTAATGGAAGGATGTTTCATTTTGTAACTAGAAATATTTCACATTATTTCATTTTTCTTAAGTTGAATTCAGTTTTAAAAACCTTTAAATATTTATTATTATTATGTATTATTTTTGCCAAAAAAATGTTTCTGGCTGATTGTAACATTTTTTGACATCTTGTGAGAATTTTGTTGTCGCCATTAATGTTACGCTTTTTTCTGTTTAATTATTGACTAGCCTCTTAGATTTTTGTGTCCAAGATATTTCATGCAAGAAGTGTGAAAACTGTGACCGGAATGGCAAGGCTTTTAGGGATTTTAAGCTGCAAAACAAAAAACTCTTTTGTTAAAAATCAGAAATTGATCAAACCTGCACCGAGACCTTTACAAGTCATGTGGTTTATGTAACACACCTCACACTATGGCGCCACACACTTCACACTGTTGTTTCACATTTTACAGTTCAGATAGAGAGAGACTCTGACCAGACACTTCCAAGGCAACAGAAGTAACATTGCTGAATCCACTCATTCTTCTCGCCATTACTTTGGCTGTAAGCCACTGAAGCAGTTCATTTCAAAGACATCAAACCTTTGATAACTTCA